ACATTATCAGAAGGTAATTTACATTAATTACTATGTTAATGAGTACATAAAACATTCATTTGCATAAAAAAGCTTAGCCTCCAATATGCATACATTCATTTAATCCTTCTAATTTTCTGTTTGGCATTCCTGCCCTCAACTGGGGCTGGTTTTTTTTTTTTTTTTTTGGAGACGGAGTCTCACTCTGTTGCCTGGGCTGGAGTGGAGTGCAGTGGCGCAATTTCGGCTGGCTGCAATCTCCACACTTCCCAGGTTCAAGCGATTTCTCCTACCTCAGCCTCCTGAGTAGCTGGGACTACAGGCGCCTGATACCATGCCTGGCCAATTTTTGTATTTTTAGTAGAGACAGGGTTTCATCATGTTGGCCAGGCTGGTCTTGAACACCTGGCCTCTTATGATCCTCCTGACTTGGCCTCCCAAAGTGCTGGAATTACAGGCATGAGCCACCGTGCTAGAAACTGGGGCTTGTTTATTCAGTTTAGAAATGCTGTATCTTTCCCCTCTCCAGAAAATAAGCCTTTAAATCCTCACTCTTCCACTGGGTGGGGACTGAGTATTCCCTATTCAAAGTGTGTTTTTGTTGGGGTTTGAAGAGAAGTGGGGAACTAAAGAATTAACAACTTAAACTGTTAACAGTCTTTTTTTTTGTTTTGTTTTAAGTTTATTTATTGCAGAACACCTCAGAGACTTTATTATTCCAGCATGTGTTGTGAATCTTCTAGATTTGGCAGGCCCTTATTTAACCATAGGGCCCTTTTCCTACAAGTGTGTCTGAGGAATTCATTTGAAAGAAATCCTGCGTTAGATGCTTACAATGGGTGAAGGTCTCTTGAAACTTTAGATAGCAAGAGGTGCCACCACTTGACTCCATGGCATGTCTTTGGAGGTTCCTGGGACAGTACTCAGGAGTTTGGGCACTGTCATCTTTATTCATCCAATTTTGTCCTGGGCAGGATCTTGCTGGTTGAAACAAAGTGATTTGGGGGTTCTTTCCTTCATGAAAGTAGCTGTTAAATAGTTCTGAAGGCTAGATCTTTACCTAGAAGTCTGTACGAGTTTCTATTCAATATCTATATATTCCTACTGTTTCTTTGTAAACAAACTATAGCAATTAGACAAAAATTGGGCAGTACGCCAAGTTCCAATTGGCGCGATTCTGTGAGTGGATATATGCATATATATGTATATGCATATATATATATAGAGAGAGAGAGAGTCATTCAATGTCTTTGGGTACCAAATAGCGTTAAGCTTTAACCTTCATATTTAAGAATATTACCATTTATATAATACCAAATGCCTTCATGGGACGACATGCACTGAAAGGGACAGATGGAATAAAGATTGCTGATTTACAAACAAAAATGAAACTTCTGAGTTTTCACGTAACAAAACTCTTCCAATCATATATAACTTTAATGGGATTTATTGTGCTTTTCTTTCTTTCTTTCTTTCTTTTTTTTTTTTTTTTAAGCTGAGGTCTTATTCTGTTGCTCAGGCTGGAGTACAGTGGTGTGAACACAGCTCACTGCACTGCAATCTCAACCTCCTGAGCTCAAGAGATCCTCCCACTCAGTCTCCAAGTAGCTGAGTCTACAAGCACGCAGCACACGCCAGGCTCATTTTTTAGTTTTTATAGAGACAGGGTCTCCTAGGCCCAAGCAGTCCTCGTGCCTTGACTTCCCAAAGTGCTGGGATTACAGGCATGAGCCACTGTATTTTTTGTCTTAATAGTCACTGTTAAAACAGTTATAAATTTCCAGGTTTTGTCACCTATCACTTCAGTGTGAGTAATTTTAAAAAAATCTCCCATTGATTAGTTTCACACTGTAGTCAAGAATCTAACCAAAGATAGAATTTGGTTAACTTCAAAGTAGGGACCAGATTTAGTAATAGAGAATAAAGCCCTTCTTTGTTACGTTACAGCCCACGAGTTAATCCAAAAAGGTCTGGTGGGCTTAGTTACAGATAGGAAAAGGAATTTAGCTAGATTTTTAAAAATATTTTTATGTAGGCAGGCCAGGTCATGTTTATCTAAGGATTCTCTAATTGGATGCCATAAAGTGACACACTTAATGTGAGCTGCAATGTAAGAATGAAATGACAAAATGAAGCAGAACAAGATAACTTAGAAGTGGGGAGAATAAAAATTAACTGAAGATAGTTAACCCCAAAACATTACTTATTTGAAATCAAGTCACATAATTGCACTTGGAACCTGGTATATTGCTCAATTTTTGTCTAATTGCTGTAGCTTGTTTACAGATAAACAGTCAGAATATGTTTGAACCCAGATAGTCATTTAATGAGTATAACAATGATAAGCAATTAAATTATTTGCAACTTTGAAAAGTTGGTTAGGCATAGTTGCCTTTTGAAAATCATTTTCCCTTGAAAACTCAATAATACTGTTTAAAAATACACAAGGCATTACATGTTTGCTTGCATTATAATCACAGTTTCATGTTCACACACCTTATCAAAAGTCCAACACCAACACTGTATCAACAGTGCAGTATGAGAGGAAATTTGGCAAACATTAGATGTATTCAATTGTTGCAGTGGTTTAAGTCAATTCACACAGAAATAGGAAGTAATTTTTTTGACATCTCCTTATCAATCAATTAGAGCTGAAACACAAAAAGAATCTAAGAAGTTTCAGGGCAGGGGTGGGCACGGTAGCTCACACCTGTAATCACAAGCTGGGAAGCCAAGATAGAAGGATTCCTTGATCCCAGGAGTTCAAGACCAGCCTGGGCAACATAGGGAGGCTCCCGTCTCCACATACACACAAAATTAGCCAGGCATGATGGCTCACACCTGTAGTTCTAGGTACTTGGGAGGCTTAGATGGGAGGACTGCTTGAACCTGGGAGGTCAAGGCTGGAGTGAGCCATGGTCATGCCATGCACTCCAGCCTGGGTAACAGAGCAAGACTCTATCTCAAAAAGAAAAAGAAATAAAAGGGAAGAAAAGAAAAGAAAGAAAAGAGGAAGGAAGGAAGGAAGGAAAGAAAGAAAGGAGGGAGGGAGGGAGGGAGGGAGGGAAAAAGTTGTGGCAAAGGAATAAAGTGTGTAATATTCTTGAGCTAGATATTACTCCAATGATTGGGAAGAGTAAGTAGTCAAATAATGAGACTGAATAAACATGTTGCCAAAATACATAACTGCAGTTTTTACTTCAGATCTGAGAACACTGGGGATCCCTCCCCCATAACATTTATTGTGAGAATATGTAATAGTGATACTACTGATTTTTCTTCACTTTATTTATTTATTTTTTTAGATGGAGTCTTGCTCTTGTCCCCCAGGCTGGAGTGCGGTGGCACGATCTCGGCTCACTGCAACCTCTGCCTCCTGGGTTCAAGCGATTCTCCTGCCTCAGCCTCCCAAGTAGCTGGGATGACACCTGCCACCACACCCGGCTGCCACCACACCCGGCTACTTTTTGTAGTTTTAGTAGAGACGGCGTTTCACCATGTTGGCCAGGCTGGTCTTGAACTCCTGACCTCAGGTTATCTGCCTGCCTTGGCCTCCCAAAGTGCTGGGATTACAGGTGTGAGCCACCGTATCCAGCCAGGTTTTCTTTTTCATCGCTTCCTATATTCCTTCTGATATATCACTTTCTTACACTACAGGATGCCCTGGACTGGCATGTTTCCCACTCCAGTCTTAGAATCAGCTGTTTCTCTAAGGAGCTCATTTTTTAAAAAATTGGACAATGGTATTAGAAACCAAGATCTAGGAAACCGTCGTTCTCAGCGAACTAACACAAGAACAGAAAACCAAACACTGCATGTTCTCACTCGTAAGTGGGAATTGAACAATGAGAACACATGGACACAGGAAGGGGAACATCACACACTGGGGCCTGTCAGGGGGTTGGGGGCTGGGGGAGGGAGAGCATTAGGAGAAATACCTAATGTTGATGACGGGTTGATGGGTGCAGCAAACCACCATGGCATGTGTATACCTATGTAACAAACCTGCACATTCTGCACATGTACACCAGAACTTAAAGTATAATTAAAAGTAATAATAAAAACGAGACCTAGGCCGGGCGTGGTGGCTGAAGCCTGTAATCCCAGTGCTTTGGGAGGCCAAGGAGGGTGGATCACTTGAGGTCAGGAGTTTGAGACCAGCCTGGCCAACATGGTGAAATCCCATCTCTACAAAAAATACAAAAATTAGCTGGGCATGGTGGTACGTGTCTGTAACCCCAACTACTCAGAAGGCTGAAGCAGGACAATCCCTTGAACCCGAGGTGGAGGTTGCTGTGAGCCAAGATTACGCTACTGCACTCCAGCCTGTGTGATAGTCTCAAAAAAAAGAAAAAAAAAAGAAAAAGAAACCAAGATGTAGGTTCTAGGTGTACTTGTTGCTGCGGAATAAAACCAAATTATAAATTTTTTTTTTAAGTGTTACACCAATTCTTGCTTTGCTTTCCTCTGACGACAAAATCTCCAGACTAGGACATGCAAGTTAACTGTATGCTGTTTTCAACCAAGGATGCTGACGGTGGTCTCGTGCATTATGTGGCCAGATTCGTGAATTGTGACTCCCTTTGTGCCAATCATATTTAAAAAATAAATCCCCCAGCTGGGCGCAGTGGCTCATGCCTGTAATCCTAGCACTTTTGGGAGGCTGAGGCGAGTGGATCACGAGGTCAGGAGTTCACAAGACCAGACTGGCCAATATGGTGAAACCCTGTCTCTACTAAAAATACAAAAATTAGCCAGGCGTGGTGGCGTACGCCTGTAATCTCAGCTACTCGGGAGGCTGAGGCAGGAGAATCACTTGAACCTGGGAGGCGGAGGTTGCAGTGAGCGCCACCGCACTCAAGCCTGGGTGACAGAGCGAGACTCCGTCTCAAAAAATAAATCCCTGTCTTAAGTACATACGGGTTCACTGTGGCTCTTCTACAAATGTGTGGAATTGATTTCTCACTAACTGCCCTGATCAGACCCTTTATTGCAGGTAAAGAAGAAAAGCACAACATACATCTTTTAGGCACTTTTTATTTTCAAAAAAAAAAAATGTCGTTAATATATAAACATCTCATTCTCTCAAAAAATTCTACAACTATACAGCTGTTTGCTCCATTATTTGCATAGGAAATGACCACAATACAAAAATAAGAGGGAAAAAGAAGCAAAACAGCAACCAATTTATGCTTTTCATGTAGGTGTGTTTCCACGTATAAACATTTTGAAGCCTCTTACAAAATTATTTACATCGTTTGTCATCTATTTACATGTTTTAAGAGCAACTTTTCTAACAAACAAAACTATAATTTATCAAGTTATGAAAATTGTCTTCTAAAAAAACTTACTATATTACCACAAAATAAATAAAGATAAACAATATTTTAAAAACAAAATTAAATTTTCATTTCAATTAAGACCCCTTTTGGCATTTTGCTTATTTATTCTGCCCTTTGGTTAACAGCATCAGCATCACATTACTATTTTATATTGCATATATGTAGCACTTGCTTCCTTAAGTTTTCAACATATCATTTATATTTAAAGGCAGACACTGAGTCAGTATTAAGAGATTAAACTGCACTGTAATTTAGATAAAATTACTGTGTCTCACTGTATATTACATGCAAAATCCACATAAATTGTCATTTAACCAACAGTACTGCAGGAGCGAACATCTCGATATATGAAAACTGCATCATCAATTCAACGTTTCGGTACATGAAACTGCATCGTAAATGCAACATTGTCATATGTGAAAACGACATCGTAAGTCCTTCTTTTTAAAAATGACATTGCGTTTAGCTTATTGTAAGAGGTTGAACTTTTGTATTTTGTAACTATCTTTAAGCTCTTCAGTTTATAATTCATATAAAACGCCTTTTGTATTTAAAATAATCCTATTTTAATCAGTGCATGAAATTTGCTTTTTTAAAGTTCATTTGAATGATTATTCCTTCCCTCTAAAGAAATGATTTTGGTAATGTTGAGAGGTATCTTACCACAAATTCTAACTGTAAGTGTATTTACGGTTATTTTCAAAAGAATTATGACTTTTCCCCAAAAGAATCCTAAAAAACTTGTAATAAACCTATAAAGCTGATTTGCATATTTACAAAATTTTGAATAGCAAATATAGGCAACTCATATATGTATATATTTTTAAAAAACCCACACATTTGTTCAATGGCTATTTGTGAATTGCCAGGTACACTGTATACCTCTAAGGAATTATCTACTATTGAAAAAAACTACTCAATGCCAAGTAAAATCTTGACATACAATCCATTCTTCTTCCGGTGCCTGCCAACTGATTTGTTTACTGAACACTGTCACATTAAATGACGGTGCCTAGGTAAAAATGCTGCACACACTCCCCTCCACCCCCACCCCTTACCCATGTTGAGATGTGGCTGCCTGTCATGAGATGAGATCTGCTTGAGTAAAGCCATATACATTACAGCAAGCATTCCAGATTCTTAAAATGACCAAACACTTTGGTATTAATACAATGTATTCCCTGTTTTCTCAAATATACAAAATATACATTTCCAGTTTTTGTTGTTTTCCTTTCTTTTTTTATATATATATATATATATATATATATAGGAACAGTTAGGTTTGTTGTTTGAAAGGGAGCCCGGGGACCTGGAACGGGTCGGGTGGCATGGGCAGCGCTCAGTTCTGGTGCCTCTTCATGTGCAGGGCCAGGTGGTCGGAGCGCGAGAAACTGCGGTTGCACACCCCGCACTGGAAGGGCTTGGCGCCTGTGTGCTTCCGGTAGTGGCGGGTCAGCTCATCCGATCGCGCGAACCTCCAGTCGCAGCCTTCCCAGGTGCACTTGTATGGCTTTTCACCTGTGACAACGAACAAAGGAGGTGAGGCGGCCTGCTTGTAATGCAAACATCCTAGATAACACTGGAGAAGGAATTTCAAAGAAAAAAAATCTTGGCCAAGCGAAGGAAGGAAAGCTCATGAATTCCATTATGAGTAAATACATATCAAAGCCACTCAGAGTAAGCTAGTTAAGAGTTATTTCTTATAACCTCCAAGTATTTTTTACCTTATAAAGAAAAAACCATTTTGTGTACCTTTGAACAACTGAAGAAAAGCAATTTTAGGCAAATGCGAAATGATTCAGTGCCCTTATTTTTATGTACTCCTACACACATAAATCCAGGAAATGACTAGATGAGCCTGAGTGGCTTTATCATTATTGTGCAAATACAGTTTCTATACCAACAAACCCAAATTAAATTATTATAGGACTAATGGCTGTAAGGTGGATGAGGGAGGAAAAAATTCGGAAGCTGTTGCACGAATCACCTATACAATGAATTTCATGTACCACAATTGCTTAACCAGAAACTGGTACTAGATGTTTCTAAATTAGCCAGGTTGAAGCTTGCAGCTCATAAATCAGTTCACTTGAACACATGGCCTCCAAAATGGACTATTAGGGCATTCACTCTTTGAGATTCACACACATCTTCACACCCTCTTTTTGCAGACTGAAGCAAAACACTCTGGTACTGATAACTTCACATTGGTAAAAAGGTTAGACCATGAAACAACTGTAACAACTGTGACATTTGTTGACTTGTATTTAGTTTTCCTTTGTCAAGTGTTGCGCCCAAAATTCATTCTATAAACAATTCTCACCAAGCATCTATTATAGGCCAGGAACTGTCCCAAATACTTGCGATACAACGGTTAACAAAATAAAAACGGCTGGCCTCATGGAGCTCACATGTGTAATATACCTCTGAAAGTCTGAAATTGTTCAACCTACCCATTCCATTCGTCCACAGTTCTCTTCCCTTGAGTAGTGAGTTGGTATGTTCCTCCCTCCCATCTTGTAATGTATATTATTCCTAATGCTCTCCAAAGTTTGCCAGCTGTTTAACTTTCAAAACTACTAAATATTCATAATGTAGTCTTAATTCACTGTTGGTGAATGAATCCTACTGGAGATCATGTATTCCAGTAGGAATAAATACCAAAACGTTCTTTCAGTGAGCATTAACTAGCAGTTCCTACATTTATGATTTTATGATTTTCTATGAATTTTATTTTTTTGATAAGAATTTGTGAGATCAATTTGTACATTAAAATATTATTGGCTTACTGCTGAGTTTTATACAGATACCTTTTTACCTCTTAAACTCCCTTACAAAAATGTTTTCTTCTGAGAGGGAGCAACCTCAGAGTTGCTTTGAACACTTGTTTAGTTCTGACGAAACAGAAACTGCACAACCTTTCTGCCTAATTTAGCAGTATCATGTTCAGGAAGTTGTAGGATTAACCAAGTCAGTCTAAACTTTAAAAGACCCTGTCCTCATCAACTGAGATTTCTACAATTTGTGGTTAATATTTTCATTGTCCTGATAACCACTCTGACTCTCAGACAAAATCCCATAGGGACAAAGAAGAAAGTGCCAAAACAGACCACATGAAAGTGGTCCCAATTTCCTTCCCTTCAGATTTCACCTGCATTTCCCATGGTATGGAACTGCTGTGCCATACTTCCTCTCTTCTCTCCTCTGCCTCTGACTCAGTTTTGGTTTTAATTCCCTTTCTGATTCCTATCAATCCACTTTAAAAACGCACATCTCAATTCTAGAATTTTTCCTCCCCTCATAGGAAACTGGAACCAGAAATTTAACCTAAGACATTCAAGCCTTTTATGAAACAAAGTATAGATCACGTTCTTGCACTTACAATCACATATTTGATATATAAAAATATTTTAACACCAGTAGTAAATATAGATATCACATTTATAGATGTAAATCATCACAAAAAATAATTTTGCACAGTACTATTAGTTTTTGTTCCCTGTGAAAAATAAACCACAGAAACAAACATATTGGTTAAATACTTTACTGTCATTTAATGGAAAGAAAAAGCTATTTCTGATGTCTGAGACAAGGAAAAAAATTCCTATAGTGCTCCCAATTTTAAAAGAAATCATTCTAGTCTTTTGAATTTAATAATTAAATAGCAGAACTGAATTTTCAGAGTTTATGTAAGAAACAAGGGACACTAGACTCTTTTTGTTCACTATTTTTATTGGCTATGAAGCAATAAACTGCACCAGTATTTTTTAAAGTTTACTTTACTGATTGCTTGAAATACGGTAGCCATTAAAGTTTCTAAAACATTTGGGGTTTTGCTCTCAATTTATGCACATCTATAGATTATTCAGCCAATAATACTACCAGTGTCTGGAATGTTAGTTACTGGGGCCAAGTCTTACCATAAAAGTAAGGACAACTATCCCCCACTTGGGGCAGTTTCTATGGGATTTGTTCAAGTGTCAACACCGTTCAAGTAAAACATCGTAGAGGAAGCTGGTACCCAATTTCTGGCCAAACAGCAGACTTGGGCCTTTCTTCCTCAGCCAGAAACACTATGCACAGTACTTCTGGGAAACCAAACTGACTTCCTTTAAGTTATATTTCAACAGGATAGAGCTTTCAAAAGTTTAATTGGATTTTTACAGAATCTCTTTCCAATACCACCAATTTAAAATATTTAGTTAAGCTCTTTCAACATCAACTGTATTTTTAAGTTCTCATGCTGTTAACGTGAAACTTTCCAAAGGCAAAAAGAAAAAAGTGACAAGTTTGTACAGCACAGAAAACAAGCTCCAACTTTATCTCAAAGTATGTGTTTTCTCATTCTGTTTTTAAATTACAGGAGTATTTTGCTAGAATCTCTAATCTTTGAAAACTATGTTCAAGTTAAACATACATACTATCCATGCTGATAAAGTCATTAACATACTTTACAAAAATGTTAAGCAGAAACATTACCAGTAAAAAGAAAAGGGAGCAGGCACCAGCAGCCATGGAGCACATACTCCAGAGCGAGGTGCTTCTCATTCTCTCGCTTCCTCACAATAACCCCGTGAGTTAGAAGCAAAACGATGAGCTCCACATTAAGAATCCCGGTCTGCCACTTTTCCTTAATGTCCCACTTAAATCTTCCATTAGCAAACACTAATACACTCTCTTTGAATGATTTAAGGAACACATACATATTGTTCAAATTTATTTCCATATTCTAAAGCCACTTGTGAAGGTCAGCCAAGGAATGGCTTAATGGAATCACAGCAGGCCTTGCACCCCAGATGATCTGAAACACAGGGCACAACTTGGCAGAGCCAGCCTCTGTGGGACCTGCGGGGTCCTGAGCACTGTTCAGTCAGGTATTGGCAATTCCCAGGTATCACCTAACACCTAACAATAGCTCCTTTCCCCCAGGGTAACTGAATTTCAGTGGGTTAGTGGAACATGTTTGTAAGCCATTTTAAAAATCCTCAGCAACAAACTGAAAATTGTCTTTTTTTTCCCCCCTCTGAACAGATTTTAAAATGACTTCTGAACCTATCACAATGGAATGGGAAGTTTCTCTGCTCTGCTGAACACATTCAATAGACTCATACCAAGGCCTTACCCTAAAATGTTCTACATAGATTCTTCTAACGAAAGAACAAAAATCACTGATGGAAATATTTATCTTAAAAGTTATTTTAGATAATTTTTTTTAAGTTTATTGTAGCAAATTTGCACATCGGTTTCCTTTCTGGTGACTAAAAGACAACTCAATCAATAAAAACTAAAATACCATGAGAATTAAAGTCACTGTTTATTAGTGAAGGTGTAACTTGTACTAAATGCCTTGCAAAACACAAATAAGACTTAGTTTCTGGCCTCAAAGAACTTAAAAATCTGTATCTTGTTCTGGGAACCTAAACAATGTAAACTTTTAAAGTAGAATAAATTATTTCAACCTAATCTAAACTCTTAGAACTTAAGAGTCCTTGAAGCTCAAAATGAGCTCTTATTTCAAGAGAAAAATATTTTCATGCAATTCAATAATAATTAGATTTTTCCCATCATTTGAGACTTATGAAATTTAGTCTCTGAAACAGGCTATTAGATTTGCTTCTAAAAACCAAAAGGGAAAAAAATAGGAAACACTTATTAAAGAAATTCATAGGAGAATGATTTAGATATCTAAGAAAAGAGATAAAGTAGGATGATTTTAGCTCACGAATTCATATTTTTATATCTATGCCGGTAATTTTCCATCCAAACACCTTCTATTAAAACTCATTGTCACAGATTTCCTATACTTGGAACAGAAGGTCCATATCAAAGATTAGTATGATTAGCATTTGTAAATGCATCTAATTATTTACCAGATAACACCATCAATATTGTGCCCATTCAACCTAGGGAAGCTGATTGACAAAAACGAAAAACAAACAAAAAAAAACAATGAAAGATAAATTCCTTTCCTTTTCTCCTCAATTCATGTTTATCACTTTCTTTAAAGTCCGATACCTCACTCCTTCTAGAAAGCCTCTGCCGATACCTCACTCCTTCTAGAAAGCCTCTGAACAGGCCAGGAGAAATCATTTCACTTTTCTGTATCCCCATCACTTAAATTTCTGTTGAGCTATCGATTTGCACCTGCACATATACTGCTTTAGGAAGGCTTCGAATACTTGTATTTTGCCTCCTTAACTAGCTTTTAAAAGTTCTTCAAGGGCAGAGACTATCTTCTATTCCTGCTGTAATGCCACACTTTCCCTAATGCATCTTGAAAACAACTCAGTTATTCTGATTAATGAAAAGGAGGGAAGGCATAAAAGGTTCTTTTCAGGCTGTCAGCTTTTTCTTCTTCTGTGGACCCTCCTGCAGCAGGGCTTTGCCTGGCTTTGCCCTGCCTAGGACCACTGAGGGTAATCAGATAATATGCTTTTAGGTGAGAACCATGTTTTGAGCCTCTTCCGGAGAAAATAATCAGAATCAGTTATTGTCCATTCTGAAGTTATACAGGGATA